AATATCAAATTTCAACACTCAAATCGCGATTAGTTTCTGAACTGAACATTGACAACAAGACTGCTATAACCATCTTCACATTCTATTCGTCACCGTAACATGACTCCAAATTTAATTTTATGACTCTTCAGCCAATTATAAAACTCGATTAGTAAAAATCATCCAATACGAACCGCCAATTCTTCTGTCCACGTGGACTAGTTGGCAGCGGCTTCATTTCTCTGTATTGGTTTTTTGGCCTTTGAGAGCTCCGACACTTTAAGTATGCACAATACTGGTTACTTCGACTATACACAAAATTTATCATCATATACATTCCTTACCAGATTGTTACATATTACATAGATCATTTTGATGACTTGACTTAAAAACAGAAATTAATTTTCAGGTATACTTGTCCGTTCCGTGCTATGTGTGACCGATAATTATTTCGCGATCCGGGGGAACGCATAATGTTTGTTGCGGTAACCAGAGAAAACTTTGTTTCTGAAACCGATAACTAAATCAAACTTTTGTTTCAATTTTCCAATTTAATGCTTACATTTATTATACAATTAATCGCTATTACATCTTCAATCATTTTCTGTATTGACGGAGGTGCCTAGTGCATCTGCTGATGAACCAACTTAGTTGATGAAATGCGCGTCGAAAAGAGTGCTGTTCTGGTGTTTGGGAGCATTGCTTGTTTTGGATTCACTGATGATGACTCAATATTATCGAAACGACTGGAATTTCTGACAGGTATTTGCCATCAATAAAGATGCCCCTGATAGTTTGAAATAATATTATGAAAAATGACGGTGACAAAGTGCAAACATATTTTGGAAATCTACTCAACTACATCCGATATGAGTAAAACAAATCAATTATTAATTTTTTGCTAGTATGTCTTTAAAAAAGAAAATTTTCTGTGAGTTTTTAAAATCGTAATAATGATCCAAATTTGCTTCCATTCAACCTTCTCTGCAAACCTGACCAGTTTCTAGATTTCCATGCATCCACTCGATTGATCCTAAGTCGTATTTCTCATTCTTTGTAAGATATCAACATCAAAATGAATAAGCCTGACTAAATTACTAAAAAATTCATCTTCAAGAAGAGAAATGCACCATTTCTTGAAAAATCTAGACAACCGATAACAGCGGTTATAGAAGGTTCGTGCTGTATTACAATTCAAACTATCTGCCAACAATAAAACCCATAAATCAATATGGAAACAAAGCAAACGCGGAATGATGCCAATCCAATATCATCTTTGATTAATATTACTCCATTGTGATTTTCCAATATTTTTATTGGCGTCGCGTGATTCTAAGCAGAGTTATTGTACGAGGATCGAATAAAAAGTTCTACTGAATTATTATCATGTATCGTAAAAATAGATACCCGTTCTGCAAACATATTACATATCGTGTCGAGACAATGATCTAGAGAACATAATAAAAAATAAAACTTAATGTCAATATTGTCAACTTTTTATCCGGTGCACACGGGTGTACAATTTAACGCAGTGCACATTATTACGTTGCAAAACAGAAGAGCGTTGCATACGCTCATATTCGCTCGTCTAGGTTGGCTCTTTGGAGACAATGTTTGAAATCGACAGTCGCAATGCATAATTGGCGTCGCGTCGGGTCTCATAGAAAAACATTTTTAAGAGCATGCATCTTCATGTCAGTCGGGATTGGAGTCCAGCTCCCCTACCCTTTCGGCTGGTTATTGGTCTCGAGAAGGACCAATGGGTTCATGACTGATGGTATGGCGGCATGAAGTCCTCAGACATCAGTGCCGCCCTTCACGGGATACCCTCATCCATCCCACCCCTGGCTGGGGTGGGATGAATGAGAAAGTTGTTCATCCGTTAACGGGGGACATGAGGGCCTCATTCGACAGAGTGTCTGGGCCTTCTATATCGGGAGGGGTCGTCTACAGTATAATCTGTGGCTTCCCTGACTAACTGGTTTTCGTGAGTTTCCGTACTTTCAAAAACTCGCTGATTCCTCGACTGAATGGACTGCCGAATGGAAGGCAGCTGCAAATCTCTGCGGATGGCTTCGTTCCGCACGAACCAAGGAGCATTCACAATCATCCTAATTAACTTATTTTGCAACCTTTCCAGAATGGAAATGTTGGACGGAGCCGCTTATCCCCAGACGCCTGAAGCATACATGATGACAGGCTTGAACATCGTGTTATAGATGGTGATTTTATTCTTCGTGCTCATTTTTGATTTCCTATAAATCAGAGGGTACAGACTAGCTATCCGACCCTCGATCTTTGACTTAAGGCACATTGATGTGCGGGTTCCAAGTGAGCCTACGGTCTATTAGAAGACCGAGGTACTTTACCCGCGCTTGCCATTCAATCTCCCTTTCAGAGATTCTCACTTTTCTGGCCGGAGAAGATAGTAATCTTACCATGGTTATCGCCTGTATATAGTTACTAACGTTACAAGTTCGATATGTAGCAAATAACGGATGAGATTGAATATTGTAATGGCGCAGTTGAGGATTATAACAACCGAATCCGTTATCTGCATATCGGCCGTGTATCGTTCAAGACTTTTCGTAATTACACTGAAAGATTAAATTTTTATTCCGAGGAAAGAACAAATTACGAACCTCGTAATTCTACAGAAAAATCCCAACATCATGTTGTCGTGGAAGCTTAACAATATCACAACCATATGATAAACAACGTCAGTTGTTTGGATGAAATTGAAGAAATTGAGGAACAAAATCAAATTTCTTTTGAAATATTGGAAGAATCATATGCAGCGAGTGTTGTCCTGTTTTCTGCATTTGAACATTGTTTCTTCACAACTACGAAGCCGCCAACGTCATTAACATGAGTTCCCGCTCGCTCACGGACATAGAGGAATCCTTGTTGAGGAAAGGTCTAAGCTTCGCCATTGCACCAACATCTGTGCTCACTTTGGAAATAATAACTGCAGTGGAATCCACCAGTTCCCTTATTGATCAGATCGAGGCAGAAGAATTCAGATGGAAAATCAGAGAACAACTAGATCGAGAACCAGATCCAACTTTACTTCAACGGAATGGTTACTCCAGAGTGATGGTAGAACAGGCTTTGGCTAGAAGACAGCAAGAGCTTCACAAGGAAGAGAAGCCCCCACAACCAGTACTTGTATTCCCCTACATCAGAGGATCATCGAAAAGGATAAGAAGGATTGGGTCTAAGTATAACATCAGGATCTGTTTCAAATCTGGGAACACTATGGTAGCAGCCTCACGAAAACCAGGCCTCCAAACGCGGACTGCGATTCCAAGAAATGCATTTACCGGATACTCTACGAGTGCGGAGAATCATACATCGGTGAAACTAAGAGGCCATTGAAAGTTCGCATAGCCGAGCACAAGAAACACACACAGCGAAATGAAACCAGCAAATCCGGAATAGCAGAGCATGTTTGGACCCATCAACATAACATCAAGTGGGCTCAAGCTGAAATCATCCACAAAGAGGAACACTGGTTTAGGAGAAAATTCAAGGAAGCCGCGTATATGTTATTCAAGCTAGCGTAGAGATACGTAACATATAGAAACTTCTAATCAAGCGGAAAACGATCAACTCCCGCCAAACGGTCATCTCTTGCTAAAACCAGTGAAGCGGAGAGAGGGAAGAGGGGATAGGTGAAAGCACTCGAATGACCTATAAATAGTCAGATCTCGGAGGAATAAGTCTAGTTATCACCCGAAGACGATTCTGGATACTAACAATCGAAACGTCGTGACATAACTTGGTTTGGAATCTTTTAATTTTCATTTCTTGTTGATAATATTTTTTAATTTTTTAATTTTCAGCTTATATTGATATTTAAATTTTTTGGTTGTTGCTTGTATGTTATTTCTTTGTAATTTCCATTTTTTGTTCAATAAAATTGTTATTTTTCTCTTTAATTTTTTACAGATTCTTTCAAGGATTTCATATCAATTTATATTAAATTAGACAATGGAAGTCCGAACTGATGAAATACACCACGAAACATTGTCAACCACCTTCAAACAAATATTTATGACTGTAATTATTGGTATTAATTCAAAGTTATTCTTCAAGTAAATTTCAGTGAAGCGTATTGTCATGATATTTATTTGTATATAGGATTACAAGTACTGAAAAGTTTAATGTTACTGCGTGTTTGCTGACTGCAAATAAAAAATTTCGAAGAGAAACATCCGAGGAAGCGGGATATGGTTTAACAGTTGTTTGAAAATAGAAAACATAATCTGTCACAAATAAAAGCTATTTTTATGAATTCACTTATGTCACGTGATTTTCTTTTCAAAGCCTCCTTTATCTTTGATATCCGTAAAATAAGTCTTCTGTCGATCACATGTAATTGAGAAAGATGCTACATCTGCTCTGATTTTTTTGAAAATTTTACCTTCTCCGTCAATTAACATAAAATATTGTGTTGGAAGCATAAAAAAATGAAAATATCAATTGTCTAACATTGATTAATGGGATAGTCAGTACTCTCTTAGAAAAAAATTCAGCTATCTCAGCACAGATTGTCCTTGGTACAGTACATACCCCATTCGTTATGACTAAAAATAAAAAAATGTTTAAACGGTCAATATAATGCAGGAAACGAAAAATCAAATAATTTTTGTATTTTTTACTTTTTGGGTGATATTTTTTCATAATATTACTAATAGAACATGAAATTCCAATTTAAATATTGTATTTTCTGTGAAGTGGTCTTTTGCTTCCTTTTGAGATTTGGTGTTTTGTGTCGATCTGTTTAGATTGGAATTGACCTGAACTTTAAATACCTACAAAAACAGTATTCCTTATCTCTAAGTTGAAAAAAAGGAACTATCAGTATAGAAGTAATACCACATATTATTTCATCAACATTTGATGATAATTCATATTACATCGCGTTCGAATAATAATTGACTTAACCCGGTATTTATTCAAATATCCCAATACACATATTCCAATATCTGATTTATGTTATCAAATTCTTTTTTCAGGTCAGCCTAATAGAATTCAAATCGGAAAATGGGGGAAGTTTCAGGAGACCACAAACTCTGGGTGAGTCTCAGTGCTCTTGGAGATGGCAATGTCTTTGCTGTGTTACCGCAGTTGATGAAACAAATGCTCTCCGACGAAATGTGTGATACCGAGGAAGATTTCGCGGACGTTATCTTGCCCAGTGATAATACGTGGCAAACTAAAATTTACTATCAGCTGGTTGAGAAACAGAGAATGGTTGACGCCAAGTCTGAGGAAGAGTAAGTATATCAAAACTTTTTTCACTTTCCAAGTTTTGGGTCAACTTTATCGACTGAAAGCACTGATTTTTATTTTCACAATTCACGACAATTTCAGATTTGTTGATTTTCCATGCTAGAAAAATATCAGATATACTGAAAAAATTACAAATTAGAGAAGCAAATGTGTCTCTCTATAAAACGGCCTGGCCACGGGGATCGGAGGTGCGAACGTCGAAGCGGAGGACGAGGCGACCATTCGCGCGGCACCGTTTGCAGGCCACGGGTAGTCACGTTCGCCGCCGCGACCAGTAGTCCGACAGCGAAATGTCTTTATAGAAATTATCTGGATATTGCTTAGAAAGTAATAGTTTTTTGGTTCAAGACCTAATATATGGAAGATATTGTGGAGTACATCATTTGAATAGGAATCGGGATATAGTGGAGAATTCCACAAGAAGTATGAGAAATACATATTATATCCAGAAATTTTTTTTAGTATAAAGAATGAGTATTGAAACCTTCGACTATATTCTTATGAATATTCAACCACAGTTGGAGAAAAAAGTTAATGCAAATAGATTTTAAGTGCCGCTTATCTACATACCTATGTATCATATTTTGGAGAATTACTAATAGTATCCATCAGTATAAACAACTTTTCCCAAGAAAGTAATAGTCGCAAACGGATTTTTTTACAACTAAATTTATTTGGAACTATCTTTGCCCAAAATATTATCAGCTAATTAAATGTTACCCTGTATATTATTATTTCATGAAATGAAAACACTTTCAGATATTCATATTATTCATTGCAATTATCTAAATTATATGACAGTAATTTTTCGTAGAACTAAAACAAAAAACAACCTCTAACTTGTAATTGACGGTAGAATGAATAATGAATTTCTAACTTTTTAATCAGTCTTTTATTTAGGAATAAAAGTCTCGGTGTTCATTTTTCGCGGCGAAAACAACTAAACTAGTTTGATCACTGCACTATTCGCCGCAATTGCCGCTCGACTCCGTGGCTCGCGCCGTACTGATTCATATCTTTGTTTTACTCGCTCGTCGCGCCGCAAGTCGCCCACGCGATTCGCTCAGTACATTTCGCCGATCGCTTCGCCGGTCGCCGTTGCGCGTGGCTTCATAAGTACATTGTTTCAGTCGCTAGACATATTCGCATCGGCGAGTGTCCCGTGGCCAGGCTGTTAGCCGTTCGCACCGCACAAATATTCGCATCGGTGAATGTCCCGTGGCCAAGCTGTAAAATAGCTTTCTCAGGCGTGTTCATATTGTATAAAGTTTATCTTATTTGTGCTTTATATAATATAATAATTCAAATCACACGACTCTCTACCTACTGGACGACTAATAATTTCACCAGAGTTTAAGAATAAACTGATCAAAAATTCAAATATTATTATAACACCAACTTATTGAATGGACATGTATTGAAATAATTACCAATTCCCAGATTAGAAAATAGATTCAACAGAGAAAAAGATTTAAATTCTATTCAGTCATTCAGTGAATTTTCTGTATTCCCAAAGATTGAGTTTCAAACTTTTCTCTTTGAAATGTAATAAGTTATAATCATGGTTGAACTCATGCCCTCTGCCAAAAAAATGTTTGAAGGTTTTCAAATGTGGAATTAATCTTCACATTCAAGAAATTACTCCTATGTTATTTTATTATTTGGAAAAAGGTTCTCCCCGTTTGCCAATATAAGGTTTTTGGTAAGAACCACAAGTCAACCCATATACTCCTGATCTATCTAACACTGAAGTTATGTCTTTATTGTTTTCAATGAATTCGCGTATATTTTTATTTGTTCTGTAAGCCACGTCCGAGCCTATCTTTTAAAAAAAAACGAGCGATATTATTGGTGAGTGCACCAAAGTATGTCAATGTCACATGCTTGTTTTTGCAGTTTTTTCAAATAATGGAGTCAATAATATCTACACCGTAGCCATGGTGACATCAATTTCTTTCTTCTTTGATCTGCATGATGACGCTATTAGGCTCAAGATACTCCGGAGGTGGAAAGCTCCCCAATCGGATTTCCGGATGGAGGCTGATTCGAGGGTATCATCCTGCAGAAGTTATTCGAAAACCACTATTTCTTGAAAGTCAGCAGGGTCTTCCTAACATCAATTCACAGGGAAATAGCATTGTAACTGCAGTTGCTAAGAGGCCCACTAGCAATTTCAAAATCAATTTCTGCAACATCAGAGTACTCAACTCAAATAAAAACTCGGTGCACCAAAATCTGCAAACAAACAGTCCTCATATTATTGCACTCACAGAAACCAAAGTCAGTGCTTCAACAAAACACGTCAATTTTTTAAATCCCGCCTATGTTTTCCACTCCCGATTCAGAGGTACCTTTGGAACATCTCTTTTTATCAGAAGGGATATCTCCTTTTAACGAAAGAAAATACTGAAACCCTAGAACTTTGATGTTCATATGCTGAGTTTATCGAACACCAAGCGATACACAATACAGGGCGCTATTCTCTTCACTTGCGAACATCAATGACTTTCTGAAAATCAATCATCCCAGTGCCGAAATCTCCATATTCGGAGACTTCAATGGCCACAATATCGAATGGCTCATATTTTCAAATATCAACGACGAACAAGGTCGCGAAGTTAAGGCTTTCGTAATAAGCAGCGGACTTACTCAGATTATGAATGAGCCAACAAGGATTCCTGACCGTGATGGAGAATTTGCTCGTCTTCTGGATCTATGTGTCTGTTTTCTGTTTCTGTTCTATTTTTCCGTTAATCAGCTATTGCCTCCATACGAACGACAACTCTCAGAAGTTAAGAAACTTGTGCGAGCTGAGGACTAACGAGGTCTTATCTTTCAACGTGTGATTCCTATACCTTATAACCAATCCAGAAACTTACACAGTTACCATAAGGTCTCCATTGGAATCTTCTGACCACAAACTCATTTCAGTGTTGAGTGAATTACCGATAAATTTTGGAGGACAATCTAAGCCACGCAAAGTTTGGCATTACAGATCTGCTGAGTGGAAGGATTTTCAAGACCATTTCCGAAATTTTTCCTGGCTAGATATTTGTTTCAGCTCTAATGATCCATCAACTTGTGCTTCTGAAGTCACGGAAGTTATTCTATCATCCACGGATGCATTGTTTTCTTTTTCAATAAAAAACGAACTTCTAACGCCAAAACTTGGTTCAACAAAATTTGCGAGCAAGTTGTCACCTCCAAAAATCTCGCCAACAGACAGTGGCAAAAAATTTCCATTGCCGAAAACTGAACTAGGTTTGTTAATGCTCGCAACAGCTGCAAACTTAGGACAAATGAAAACAAATGAAAGCAAAGAACTTAGCTGAATAATTTGCGTCCCACTTCACAGTCGATTCTTTGAGAAAGGCACCACCCACTATTCCCACACTAGAATCCACAAAGCCGGAAATTACTTTCCGACAATGTCTAGTCAGGCGAATTTTGAAACAGCTCAATATCAACAAGACGTCACCGTACTTCAAAAGTGCGCAAATGAACTCGCACCAGTATTTTGCAGAAGAAGAAAGCGGTTTTTTCTTCATGTTGAAAGACTGCTCGCGTTCAACCTATTAACAAAAAGGTAAAGAAAAATATTTCAAATGACCATAGAGCAGTTGCTTGCTATCAGTGATATCAAAAATCATGGAGAAAGCCGTATACCACCATATCCTTAAATAATTAGAAGGCTTTAACATATTAAGCGATCATCAATTTGGCTTTCGATCAACAGGCGACCGTTTATCGTATGTCACCTATATTTGTGTTGTTGCGCTTGATATCTCTAATTCCTTTGACCGTGTGTGGCATGAGGGTTTGCTGGCCAAAATTCGATTCTATGGCTTGTCGGATCATTTTTGTGTGTGGCTCTCCAGCTTCCTGCTCTCCGTTTCCTGCAATGGCCGTCGATGGATATCTCTCGAATACTTCCACCATCAACGCTGGCGTTCCCCAGGGATCAATATTGTCTTCAACCTTCTTTTTATTGTATATCAACGACCTATTAAAAAAAAAAAATCCAATATATTCTTTTGCGGACGATAGCACACTTAGTCCGGCCGTACACGGACCACATATTTGCAGTTGAGGAAACCACAACATTGTGGTCACGTTGACTGCACTTCGCGGTTGACCCAACCACATTTTTGTGGTCGAATTGCGGTCATATAAACCGCACTTGCAGTTGAGGCAACTGACATCAAAAATTGAATGCTGTGAGACCAATATGTAGGTATGCGGTTGGGTACGACTGCAAGTTTGTAGTTAGTGTACGGCGGATGCCGCGATGACATCTCGGCGGAGATCAGCAGCAAGTTGACAGCAGACGCCCGTTTTGACTTTTGTGAACGCCCGTGTACGTGTAGTACAGTATTTCTTATGGGCGGCTTGAGTTCGCTGGAACGCGACTGCAATTGTGTGGTCGATCCAACCGCAAAATGTGGCTCGTGTATGGGCGCTCTCATCACGTCATTCCATTTGGAATCCAGTACTTCGGCTGCGGATGCACATCTTCACCGATAGCAGGAGGTTGCATATCTTAATGAGGATCTAGAAGTAATTTCGAATTAGGGTGAAAGCAACCAGGTTCAATTAAATGCCACAAAAACCCAGGCATCGGTTTTCTCCAAAAAGATAAATGTCTCCGAACCGCATATAATGATGTCAGATCAGACAATTCCGCTTCCTGCTCCGATTAGTTTGTTGGGGGTTAAAATGGACATCAAGGTGTCTTGACATAATCATGTCGCTGGGATTGCAAACGCTGCTTCTCAAAAGCTAGGAACTTTGTACCGGACCAGAAAACTTTGCACACCTCAGCAACTCTTGATGCTATGTAAAGCTCAGAACAGATTTTCTTTGGAGTATTGTTCTCATGTATGGAGCTCCCTCCCAAGTATGGTGGATTCCATCTAGAAAAGAGCCATCCGCCTGATTGGAGACGCGAACATCACTTGCAACCCTGATAGTCTGGAACATCGAA